GTCAATAGCAGGCAAGCATAGTTCTACCCATAGTCTTCTGACTCACGGCCAGCTAGATGCGAGCCTTGTGTCTGGCGATGCGTGAACAACCTATTCGTAGAGCACTTGGGTCGTCCATGGCTTGTTTTGCTCACAACTGCCCATTGCAAAGTCAACAGGCGCCTTCGGGCTGTGATGAGATCGGTTTTCGCTTGGCGCATTTTCACCTCGCCGTCGCTGGCTGTGAGCCTTTGCGCCTTTGGTGTCTGACGTGTGACACCAGCTAGCTCGTGGCTCCATGGCCAGGCGAGGGAAAGGGCAAAGGAGGCAAGGGACGAGGTGCGACAAGTTGGGGCGGGCATGGCACTCTTCAAGCGGCAGCTTCTGTGGGAGCGCTAATGAAATGTTTACCTTGAGGGTGGGGCTTGCTATGGAGAGCCAGGGTCCCTGTACCACATGGCGAGTTGCTTGGGTGTCAAAGAGACAAGTATCTTGAGGCCCCCAAAATTGTCAGCTTAGGGGACATGTAATCGTGGCCTTTGAACAAAAAACATATTTGGGGGACCGAGTTCGGATTTTGGCACCCTGGGAAAGTCGGGTCCGGTCCTTTTCGGTCCTCAACGTTCGTCCAAATGAGGCCGCCTTTCCGGGCTAAATCGGTTAAAGCAGAAATGTCCAAGCAATAAGTTTGAACGACAGGATTCAGCGCTACTATGTTTTTTTAATGTTTGTTTAGTATTGGTTTAGTGGAAACTCGCTAGTTTAGAATTGACCTGTTCTAAGTTTAATATTGGGGACACGGGAATTCGGGAGAAATACAAATAGTGGGACCTTCTTTATTGGGAAGAGATAAAGACGGCCTTACGTCGATCGCTGTCATGCGCATTGGCTCACAATATGCCTAGGCAGCACCTGCCAAGTCTCACGACATGACATCATGACACATGCTCATTACGTGTGCCAACCCTCCCTAGTGACTATAGTGGGAATGGGGAGCCACGCAGATGAGCGCAAAGCGAAATGCAAAGTGAAGACCATATTCATTTGCCATGGCATTGCTCAATGTGTTCCATCAAACTGCACACAGGCTTGCGTCGAGAGCCGTGTTGTCCATCGTTCGATCCCAGAACCCATACCCAAGGGAGAACCAAGCAGCATCAGGAGCTCGGACAGGGTCAAGCAAAAAGCGAGGGGGCTTTTCTCGCACAGGCGTGCCCCGAGTCAAGCAGGGGATTACTTTTTGTTTGACTGGACATACTGGAGACTCTGGCAACCTTGCGGGGAACCATACAAGCTTGTGCTTGTCTTTGTTTGGAACCCTCTTTGGCTGAAGCCAAAAAAGGAGAACCACCAGTTTTCAGGGTGGGTCCCACAAAATCAGCCAAGAACCACCAGTTTTCAGGGGGGGGTCCCAGAAAATCAGCTGAGAACCTCCCAGAAAAAAGACAACCTTTCGGGCGACGAGCCGCGGGATGTCGATCTGGCTTCTGGCGGGCTTTGTGCTGCTGGGCGCTTGGCTTGGGGCGCGCTTGGCCAAAACGAAGGCGGCGCGCCTCACGTCGCAAGGCTTGTCCAGATGATTCATTTCTTGGTGGTTCCCAGCCATACCCCCAGCTTTTTAGCCTTTTAGTGTTTACTGGGGATTTCCATTTAGCCCGCTAAAAGTTTAACTTTTAGCGGGGGATCTGAGGACAGCCCAGTTTTGGGGACATGCCTCTGGGTTTCCACGAGCAAGCAAGCCAGAATTCGCACATGCTTGTTTGCTGCTGGGAATGTTTGGGCTGTTTCGGGGCCAAGCAGGCCATGGTAAACAAACATCCGTAACCTGTTTGGTAGGTTGCCAGCGCTGAACAGTGTCCTACTGTCATGATGCAAATCTGTGGTTTGCACTTTGAAAACTAGCATCATTGTGCTCCAAAGCGAGTCTGGGTTCTTCACCCATGAATGGTTTCGCTTTGGTTGCGCTGATTGAAGTTACCATTGGCCGATCGTCAATGCCTTTACGCCACCAAGCGGTGCCAGCATGCAGCAGACGATGTTGCACGATGCTTTGTTAGGAGCGACCGCGACGTGCATGATTCCAAAGCGCTGGACATGTATCACAGCGAGCCATTCACATCCCACTGACACCCAATTAGACATGCAGCAAATGAGTGGTTACTTCACATGCGGGCCAAGATGAGCCTGCACGCCTAGGATGGCAGCGGAAAAACTTAGCACGATGCCGTGCTGAAAAATCGGGATGCCCGTTTAGAGGGCGAGGCATCGTGCACATTCGTGCACATTTGAGCTGCACGTTGCAACGCTTTCAAGAAAGGTGATCCTTCAATTCCTGCAAGAGAAAGCTGGCATGCCCTGCCAAGTTCTTTAACATACCCTCCTGTCCATCAACATGGAACTTGACTGAGGGGTCCTGGAAGATAGTTTTCCTGTAAAAGGGACCCTTAGGTGGGTTCCATGTTAATGGACAGGAGGCTGCAAAGAACATCTGCTCTACTTGCTGAGTGCTCGCAGCTCGACAGGATGGGCGAGAGGTTGAGGCGGAGCTGGAACTGCAGCTGGAGCGGGACATGGCATCTTGGCCAAATGCCAAAGGGCCAGCCACATCCATACTAGTTCCCCAGTAGTGCCCTTTTGCCCTTTTTTTGGGGAGGGTTCCCCTACTACAATAGACTGCAGAAACAAGGGTACCCTTATTCTAACCTCCCTACTGGAGAACCTAGCATAGGTGTCTTTTTTGGTTGGTTTGCTTAAACAATAGAGGGCGATTCCTGGTTTAGATGGGGTTTATGCCCCATGTACCCCATTACCAGGGAACCCCATCTATTTGTCCAAAAGGCCACCTTTGGCTACAACCCTTTGGCGAAGGCTTGTCGGGAGCGGGGCTGTAATGATAGGGAACAGTTGATTGTCCCTCCCACTAATTGGAGGTGGATACCCGGCAACAATGAATGCCATTTCGAAGAGATGCGTTGAATCTAGCGCCCTACTGGTCAAGCGAAGTTTTACAAGAACTTCCGCGTACCGGAACCAATGGACATTTAGCCTCTCATAGACATACATGTGTTGTGCGTCAAAAAGCTATGCAAAGGCAAGGGATTGCGTGAAAAGCTATATGTCGCAAGAACTGGGGAATAGCAAGAGGCAAAAGCTGTTGGCCCTACGCGTGAATTCGGTGACCATTGGCACGGCCGCGTGCCCACACACTTTCGTGGGCTGGGGCGAAAGACAAAGGGAAGGAGAAAGAAAACGAGGAAGACAAAGATGAAGAAAAGATAAAGATAGAATATTCATAGCGAACGATAAGAGAACAGACGTATCTCCAAAGAAAGAGACTGACACAAGGAAGAGAAAGAGAAAGAGCCAGACAAAAAAACAAAACAAAACAAAAACATAAAGATAGTGGGAACGATGGAGAAAGAAAGGGAGAGAGAAACAACAAAAGAGAAAGATAAGGGAAAGAGACAGACAAAGAAAAGGAAATGAGAACGAGGCAGAAAAATAAATAATAATATAAATAGCAGCACAAAGATATATATCATGAGAACGAGAGGCAGAGAGAGGAAAGAGAAAGAGGAAGGGAAGGATGCAAATGAGGAAGAGCCAGACAAGAGAAAGACGATAGCAATTTGAAGAGAAAGAGAAAGATAAAGATAATGGGAAAGAGGCAGAGGGGCAGGCAAAGATAAGGAGATTGAGAAAGAGCCAGGCAAAGAGAAAAGAGAAAGGGAAAGGGACAGAGAAAGAGAAGGACGATGAGAACCATAGGCAGAGAGAGGGAGCGAGAAAAGAGAGAGGAGAAAAAGGAAAAGATAAAGTGACAGAGACGAAAAAGAGGAGCAACTTGTAGTTGTTGTTCACCTCTGAAACTTCCGTCTCCCGCTCTGCCTAGCATTACTGGTAGGTTGGAGGGGCTTCCACCACCTTGACTGCTTTTCTTGCTGCTCCTCAGCAGGCAATGGGGAATGACCCGCTATAAACCGACCCCTAAAAAAAACCATCCCTTGTTGTTTCCTAGGGTGGGTGGGCCCCGGAGTTCATTCCCGCATTCCCTACTGAGCACCAGCAAGTTCGACAGGTTTTGCAGAGGCAAGCCAAGAGCATCGTGCGTTGCAAGCCTTCCAACAGGTAAAAATCTGGGCGTCAAAGGGGGCCCAGGGAGCATTAACCTTGCTCTGAGAGGGGCTGGCTGCGGGATGAATCTGGGGAGTTTGATCCTTTGGATTGACAAGTGTTTGATGCAGATTGCTATGATTTGGCAGGAAGCAGGCTGAGATGTATAATAGGCCGTTTCTTGAGTTTGTGAGGTTTAGTAGCACGTGCATCCGTTTGCTGCATGGGCTGATTGTCTGTTGTGTTGGCCATGCTCGAAATTGTACAGTTTGTAGTGATGCGTTTGCATGGCCACAATGCCGGCAACCCTGAAGCATCAGGAGGTGTGAAGAACTGTCAAGTCGCCCGGATTTGCGGGTTGCTTCGAGATTTGAAGTTCCACCCTGTGCCAGACATTTTGGAACAACACCCATTTGGTGACCACTGGACACTGTGAGGCCTCGATACCCACTGCCTACGGAAATCCCCGGTGACGCTGCCAAGGCCATTGCGCAGCGCTCGCGTGAGCCGCGCGCCCGGAGCGCCTATGCCAAGCTGTTTGGGGATGGCCGCGGTGTGGCTTCACGGCTGCTTTGGGACCTGGATGAGTTTCATGGGCTTGCTGCTTCCTTTTTCTCAACTGTGGGGCATGTTGGGTCCTCCCAGAGGGGCGTGTGAGCCTGCCCTCCCCCAACCTGGGGCTTGCGTTGGGCTTCCACAGGGCAAGCAGGAGGATCAACATTGTGTATCCGTACAAAGTGGCATGCATATATAATATACAGAAAGTACATGCCATATACCAATATATGTATTTATATATGTAAAAAACATATACACTCACATAGCACATACATGGGTGGATACAAGAAACATGTGTATGTGTGGCTCGGTTCCAAGCAATCCAGATCTCTGAGGATGGTGGCCGGGCAATGCCATGGGACGACTTCCGGGAGCGCCTCTTGGCTGGGGTAAAAGTAGATGGTACCATTCCCCCCTTGTTGGCTTAGTCACCCCCGACTTGAAACACACATCAAGCGATTTGCGCAAGTGAAGCTTTTACCCTGGAAGTTGTTTTTTTCCGAATGCGCAGCAGAAGGGTTCCCGTGTAGAGGTCGGGCGTCTGGGGGTTAGGACGTGACCAGAAGTCGTTGAATTTGCGTCCCGAAGCGTTCGTATGTGTTCGCGAGTGTCGCGGTTCCAATGGGGAAAACGAAAAACGTGCCATTTAGATGACTTGAAGCGTGTCATTTTTCGTGCCCCTGTGTGGGAATCGTATAGCTCTTAGCATGTCAGCCGTTGTTTTGCTGCGCATGCGCAGTGTTTTGTGAAGGTTCAGGTTTGCAGTTGCAAATCCATTGTGATTCGCGTTTCAGGGGTCGTCGTTTTGAGGTGTTTTGCTTGGAATGCGCTCGGAAGCGTTTCAGCGAATGTCGTTTTCGCTGGCCCGGTCGCACAATCGGCTTGTTTCACAACTCTAGATTTGAAAGAGGTCGAAATCATTCCGGCGCTACAGTCCCGCGATAGCTTTCCGCGCGCGATGCGAGAGTGACAAATTCAGCTTGCGTGGCGGGCGCAGCATTTTGAGCGTTTTGCATGTCGCTGTAGCGTCATTTTTCGGGACAGGCGCAGCACTTTCGAGCTGTTCGTGCAGATTTCGTGGCAGGCGCAGCACTTTGGAGCTTGCCGTGCAGATTTCGTGGCAGGCACGGTACTTTCCAGCTTGCGTGCAGATTTCGTGGCAGGCGCAGCACTTTGACGGGTCGAGCCGCTCTTGCTGTGGCATGGTGCGCATTTGGAGATCGCACAAGGTGAGCCCTCTGCGGACTTTGGGTGGGTCGAATCGCTCTCGCTGTGGCGCGGTGCACAGTTTGAGATCGCAAACTGAACCCTCTGCGGGCTTTGGGTTGGTCGAATCGCTCTCGCTGTGGCGCGGCTCACATTTTGAGATTGCAAAGCGAACCCTTTGCGCACTTTGGGCGGGTCGGGTCGCTCTCGCCGTGGCGCAGTGCGCTTTTTGAGATCGCAAAGTGAACCCTCTGCGCACTTTGGCTTTGGATGGGTCGAATCGATCTCGCGGTGCACATTTTGAGATCGCACAGTGAACCCTCTGCGCAGAGATCGTGAAGTCGTGACGAAACACGTGACGAGAGATGTGACACGAAACGCGAGTATAGGGTCATGGCTAGAGACATGAGAAAGACCACGAAATGACGCGAGAGGTTTCCAGAGACAGGACGACAAATATGACAAGAGACGGAGACGTGCAGAGACGTTACCAGAGACGCGACAGGAGACGTCTCCACGAAAGACGCGACGGAAGATGCTACTTGCGACGAGAAGTGCGCCGAGACACGTGATGAAAGATGTGATGAAAGTCATGAACGAGAGAGACATGGCCAGAGTTGTTACAAGAGACCTGTTAAGGGACGTGACCAAAAACGTGACCAGGCACGCGAAGATAGATGCGACAAGAAACGTTGTTACGTCAAACGCGACAAAGGACGTGACCAAAGACGTGACTATGAGACGTGACCACCAGAGACGTGACTCTCTATCTATATATTTATATAGGGGCATATAGCCAGACACTGTACGTGGCGATAAATGTCATATGAGACGTGTGAGGAGAGACGTGACGAGATTGGACCAGAGACGTGACGAGAGATGTGACCAGAGACGATGGACGTGCCAGGGACGTGACGTGGCAAGGGTCGTGACAAGAGACGTGACCAGAGGCGTGACCGAGGGGCGACGACGCAGGCGACAGGAGATGCGATGAGTGTCTGCAAGAAAGACGTGCGGGAGATGCTACATAGTCGTGACGAGAGACGCATGGAGACACGTGATGAAAGATGCGATGAAAGTCATGACGAATGTTACGACAGACGTGACAAAGGACGTGACCAAAGACGTGAGTGACGATGGATGTGATGGATGTGACAAGAGACGTGCGAGGAGAGTCGCGACGAGAGACGCGACATAAGGCGTGACAAGAGACGTGTGACGTGACGAGAGATGCGACAAGAGACGTGACGAGGATCGTGGCGCGAGAGGTTTCCAGAGACAGGACGACAAATATGACAAGAGACGGAGACGTGTGAGAAGAGACGTGGCGAGGGTCGTGACCAGAGACGTTACCAGAGACGCGACAGGAGACGTCTCCACGAAAGACGCGACGGGAGATGCTACGTAGTTGCGACGAGAAGCGCGCCGAGACACGTGATGAAAGATGTGATGAAAGTCATGAACGAGAGAGACATGGCCAGAGTTGTTACAAGAGACCTGTTAAGGGACGTGACCAAAAACGTGACCAGGTACGCGAAGATAGATGCGACAAGAGACGTTGTTACGTCAAACGCGACAAAGGACGTGACCAAAGACGTGACTATGAGACGTGACCACCAGAGACGTGACTCTCTATATATATATATATATATATTTATTTATTTATATAGGGGCATATAGCCAGACACTGTACGTGGCGATAAATGTCATATGAGACGTGTGAGGAGAGACGTGACGAGATTGGACCAGAGACGTGACGAGAGATGTGACAAGAGACGAGTGAAAAGAGACGTGCTGAGGGTGACCAGAGACGTGACGCGAGGGCCGACGACTCATGCGTGACAAGACGGACAAGACGTGACGAGAGTCGCCAAGAAAGACGCGACGGGAAACGCGACGGAGTCGTGACGACAGGCGCGGCGAGACGCGACGCGAGGGGTGACGACTCACAGGACAAGAGACGTGACGGGAGGCGCGGCGAGACACATGATGAAAGATTTGACGAAACGTGGCCAGAACTGCTACGAGAGACGTGACAAATGACGTGACCAAAGGCGTGACTAGAGAGACGTGACCAGAGACGTGACTATAGAAACGTGACTAGAGGCGCGACGCGGGATGTGACAAGAGTGCGCATTCGGGGTCGTGGCTTCTATCAGGGTTTTTTTTTGGCGCTGTTTGGATGCGTGCAGCCGAGAGTTATACGAAAAAATAGGGAGAGTGAAACGCGTGGTTCTTTTGGTTTCCCTTTAAACCAACCTCGAAAAGGGGTACGCAAAAAGACTACACACCCAGAATATGTGATCATATGCGCTTATTCCCTGAAGGTTCCTTTCAGCATTCAGAAAGGTCCGGACCAAGCCTCGTTGAACAGCAACATATTTTTTCATGAATGGGCCCATGTGATCTGCCAATTGACATGACTACTATCTCAGTTGGCTGGGGCATTCCTAAGTTCATGCTGGAGACAAGCATGATGAAGTCTGACTTGCCTGAGGCATCCCTCACCGCAAGCTCGGCTTTCAAGTATGCACTTGGCAGCTAGGTTACGTTGCGGCCCTCATGGAGGAGGAGAGGGCCGAAATGCTGCAGCAGCAAGACCAAGTGCCAGATTGGCGCCTTGGACATCATAGACTGACAGCTGGGAGTTTCGCCCTAGGAACTGCATTCTGGATTGGTGTGTCGCAACTGGGCAAGGGAGCGTGGTGCATGACGTGTCAGTCACAACCGCACGGGCGGACTTGCGCGAGCGAGTGCCAAGTGATCCATGCAGAAGCGAGCATTCGAGGTTCTTGACCAGCGAGGCGCTGCTTTGCGCGCGCAAGGTTTTGTGTTTGCGCGATGGGCACAGAGTGGAGGGCCACTGGGATGAATGAAGTTGGCCACGTGCTTGCATTCCCTGCCGAAGGTGCAAGAGTATACATTTTTTGATGTTGGTCACATGCGATCCTGACCACTTGCTTCATGACCAGTCAGTGGAGTCGCGTTTGCCACCCCAGCTGGTGCATGAGTCAACTAATGATCAACCGCCAGAGTCTTGACTGACAACTATGTGTTGAACAGACATTATGTAACCCCGTGTTTTGGCCTGATAAATTAATGTAAAATGGGTTCAGCGCGTTTGCATCATTTTGTTGAAGCTGCATGCCAGTTTTTTTTTCCTGAGGGCCATGTTGAGAGGTTGGGGTGTGTTATGTCATTTTGTAGGCATGAGGTTGGCTAGTTTTGCATTTAGTGGGGATATGGCTTGGTCGAAGCTATTCCTCCGGCTATTTTCGGTTTGTTACCTATATTCCTGTGGCATTATTTCGCATGCCTTCACGGACGCTTTGCATGCTCCTGAACTCCTCGATGAGCTGACATATGTTCTATTGAACTGCTGCGATGCACTATTAGCATAGTCTATGCAAAATACTATATTCAGAGCCACTGGGTCAGAGTAATGTCATTTTACTGCCAGATACTGTCTTTTTATAGGCGGGAGCAGAGAAAAATCAGAAGAACAGTGTGTGATATGGGGTGTATCCTTGACACTCCGTTGACAGCTCTTGATAGCGCCGTTGAAGCTGCGTTCAGAAGCCTTTTCCCGACATATCCATGCCATTTGGAGCACCCCCGCGGATTTAGAGCCAGCACACCTCATCTATACTGTGCACAGTTGCGAAATCCGTTCGCAATTCGGTTGAAACCATTGGTGGTTGGTATTTACAGTCGAATCATGATTCAAGGTTTCTTGAGGGTGCAGGATTTCGTCCATTCACTGTAACTTGGCCAGTTTTGTGCCTTGTCTACTAGATGTGCCGGCGCTGCCAGCACAGCTTTGCTGATCGCGCAGGTCCGAAAGAAGGATGCTCCAGAGACACTCGATGGCCAGGCGCGAATTGGTGAGATGGCCCGATGAGTTGGTTCTCGAGTTGCCAACTGAACACAATTGCAGAGGTGATTTTTGCTTGGATGTTAGGACTTTAACTTTTTGCCAACTATTGGGTTTTCCATTAAACCACTAAAAGTTAAGCTTTTAGGTTTTTTTTTTCAAAAACTCGGGATCGCGAAGGGGGCGATTCTCAAACCCCAAGTCCTGATGCATGCCCGTGGCTTTTTCTTTATGCTTTGGTTAGGTGGAGGCCCTGGTGGCACAGAAGAAGCAGCGGCTTGCCATCGCCCGGTCAGCAGGACCCCCCACAGCGTCATTGCCGTGACCCGGGCATGTCAATGTGCTCATTGAGAGCGTAATGATGCAGTGCTATGTCTCCTTCATTGGCGTCATGAGCTTGAACGGCTGGGCATTTCGAGTTGGAAGGTGATTTGCCTGCACACTGCATGCACATGCCCTGCCTTTTGTAGATTGGCAGGACCCTTAGAGCCGCTCATCCCGGGGAGCCTGCCATGCGGTGAAGCTCTCTACGCAACTTGAGCTGAAGAGAGTAGAGTTTTGTGCCTCGCCCGGCAGACCATATTTGGACCATTGGAGGGCACCCGCACGCAGGTATCGCTCGCTTTGGACCCTTCCATGTTACTTTTGTGTCGCAAGGCTCGGTGAGTTTCGGGGAGTTGGTGCAACTGGCCCTAGGAATCAGTATACCGCCGGGTGCCGGGGTGCAGCCCAATGGCTGAGCCTTCTTGCGGCCGATGGCTGGTAGACGAGGTGGCCAGCCTGGAAGAGGCGCGGAGCGACGGTTGAACAGAATTGGAACAGCATTAGCATGAAGTGACAAGCCTCACGGGCCCCAGGGGCAAGAGTGTTCCGTTGTATGCTCCATGTGGCTGCGTTTTCAGGAGTGTTTTGTGCCCCATCGGCACTCTTTCGGGCAGGTCGTAAGGTCACAGCCACAGATAGCATCAGGTGGCTGCAATGCGCAGCACAATGCAGGAGGCCAGGAGGGGTTTTGTGGCTCAGCCCCCTCGAATTTAGATCACATCGGCAAGCAGTTGGATACACGTTGGAGGATGGCGTGCTGAGCGTTTTGGTTCAATACGCGTCAAGTTTCATTCACACTTGCCTAGTGCAGCCTCAACTGGCTGACATGGCGATTTGGAGGAATCCGTTAAGATTTCAAGCGGCTAGATCTTCATGCGTTTCAGCAACGTGTGCCCTGAGTCGACGCAGTCCGTGGTGGCATGTTTGAGTCCGAGCCCGCCACCCCAGAACTGATCTGAAGCAACTGACCTCAAGCCCGTGAGACCCTACGAGTGCATGTCCAGGCTCAGGCTGTGAACCCACCTGCGTGAGGTTTCCCTTTTGACCCTGCCTCATTATTTTACGATGGTCTAAGTCACCCCCGTTCAGTGGCGGGTAGGGAAACTGCAGGTTTTGGCCTTTGGTTCCACTTACCAGGGCAACCCATTTTGGCATTCCGGTTTTTGGAGCCACAGCCATGTCGGGGAGTAAGGGGCGTCCCTCAGCGCGGGCCACATGTGCCCAGGCCTTCGCAGGGCTGTACCACTCGGGGCCCTTGACCTCCCTGGCGCTCGGGGAAGCCTTCCCCGCGGGAGCGACTCAGGAGATCTCGGACTGGAACCGGGGGAGCTTTGTTTGGAAACCGGACTGGACCTTTGCTTTGCGAAAGGGGCTAGGGCCGGTCAGCCCCTAGAGATGAAGTTCTAGAAGCTGTTCAATGCTCTCTCAGATTCGCTTGCGGAGAATCAAGTTTGCTTCATATTTCGTGTAGAATTTGGATCGGCATCGCTTCCTTGGGTTCGATTGTGAGTCCCAAACCTTTTCGCAAGGACCCCAAATGAAAGCAGGAGCTCATGCAGCGTGCGAGGCACGGGTGGGGGAGTGGCGCCGTCCAAGACTGTTTCAGGTTCTTTCAGCTCCTTGGTGTATGATTCAAAATGGCAGCCCTGAGCCGCTGCCCGGCTACTTGCGGGAGTTCAGCAGATGGCTGCTGATTCAGTGCGTGTTGCAGTTCCTCAGTTTTGGAGGCAATTGCATCGTCCTTTCCCATACGTTTTGCTGCCACGCAGGCATGCAGTGTCCGAAGCTCTGGGTGGGCCAAAGCTGTTCTTCAGCGGCGCAATGCTGACGCGGTTCCAGATCCCGCAGGTTGAAGGCCTGGCAAGTACCCTGCTCGCTGTTCGGCGTCCAGCTTTGCCATGCTTAATTGACGCATGAAGGGTCAAGCTCTTGACACAATTTGAGGTATTTTTATGCTGTGACTTGGGCTTTAGCTTCATTTGGCCCTCATGCTTTGACAGCTGTTTGGTTCTGACGATGGCATGATAAGCCAGGACTGTGACTGTGCCGAGTTGGGGCTTTGGCGGATCAATATTCATTCGCAAGATCGAATTTGGCGCCACGCAAACCTCGACTCGTCCAGGCGACATGCAGCGGAACTCCAGCGGTGATGAGTTTGCTCCGCACGTTGACAAGGCTTGATTCTTAGAGCGCAGGCGGATTGCCTTGTACATTGTGTATCAGTTTTGGTTGTGTGTGCCCCAACATTGCCTGCAGCAATGAATGCTTTGGGCTTTGGTTTTCAGTTGGGATGCTTGACTTGTCAGTGGTGCAAGGAGGTGAAGATCTTTCCCATTGAGACTTCCCATTGACTGCGACAGAGTGCCGCAGGCAAACGTAGCCTCCTATGACTGGAGCGCGCTGCTTTACTTCAGCACCGCTGGTGAGGACTTTCAAGGCCAGTCTGCGCGCGTTCGCCAAGGTTTCAATAGGCGAGCCACCGCCGGCCAAAACAGATGAAAGGGGAAAGCGGCTGCGAGCTGGGCCCAAAGACAGAGGGTGTCCTCCATGACCCTTGTTGGAGCCTCCAAAAGTGGGCAGTTTGAAGTGCAACCAGTAACTTGCAATTTTGGAAGGGGAGATTCAGGGAATTTCATGTAAAAAAGGCCATCCCTGCCAAGCAGGGTTATGGGATCAAGGGGTGTATCCCCACTTCTGTGATACAAGGGAATCCCCTCTTTATATGGTACAGAAGTGGATTCCATTTCCCACATCCCTGCTGCCAAGCGGTGAAGTTCAGGCGGGGAGCTGATCTTTTTGGACGCGGAGGCGCAGCGCATGCTGAAGCCGGTCAGGGGCCGGCTAGCCTTCTTCAGCTCTGGCCTGGAGCCCCTTGGATCCTTTTGGTAGAGCTCAACCCTAAACCCCCTGCCAGCTTCTTACCATCTGTTTGTGTGAATTGCCTTTGGTTTTCTGTTGCATTGCCTTCAGCAGCTGACACTCTATCAACTTCTGCGCGTCTGGGGCAACTTTGCATCCAGAGATTGGTCCAGCAAGCCTTTGTGCCTTCAGGGCTTGTAGGCACAGCAGTTTGCAAGTTGAGAGCTCGGAGATTTTTAGTGAGTCGTAATGAACCGTCCCATTGCTCCGAGGAACTTGCATCGCATCGGTCCGATGACTTGGGGCACACGGCTGGCCCTTGCCGTGTGGTTTACCTGCAGCGAAAGGCACGGGAGCGCCGTGCACGCCGCAGATTAATTTAGCAAGGGCCAGTCTTTGCCATCATTGCCCAACCCTTGCGTATGTTGCACCATGTCGTCGCTTGTGCGTTTGAGCCTTTCTGGGTTGGGCTCGGCATTGGTGTACATTAACCACAGTTTGGGAACCTCGATGTGTCCAGCTTCTTTGACTGGTTCGACTTCTTCGGGCACGACGGATCAGGCATGCGCATCCTGCACTGCGGTTTCTGGATGCGCCTTGGCCTAGAAAGTGCCAGGGAGCCTATTTTGAATCCTGTCGCGTAGATGGTGTTGAAAGGTGGGATCTACCTAAAAGTCAGCACGGGCAGCAGCTTGTTTTTCTTGAGCCATTGTCATGTCGGTATGCCATTACCTATCAACACCCCCCGCTTTGCAGAGGTGCGTTGGTGAGAACAGTACTTTGTACACGTTTCTCCCCCCCATGCCTGAAGCAAAGTCCTCTGAGGTCAAGGCAGTGAAGACGTAGAGCCTCAGTGGGATAGGTGGCAAGCCATGGTGATATGAGGCCTCATGCGTCAATGGCCGCTGCAACTGCGATGCATTTGGACTTTTGCAGGAGCGTGCCATCCGAATCGGCCGACCACGACTTCCGTCGGGCAAAACACATGTGATTTCCATGTGAATGCTTGAAACTGAATTCACACTGTTGCCATCAGCGAAGGTGATCTCACGACCACAGCTTCCGCTGGGCAAGACTGAAATGACATCCGGTGGTGGCGGTCGTGGATTGACCTACGGCCGCAGCTTCCGCCGGGCGTGCAAACTTAGCACTGCTAATGTTGCGGCATAGATGGATGAAAAATAATAGTTTTGAACATGACATCACCAATGAAATTGAAATGGTCACCGCAACATAAGCAAACTTTTGTAATTGATGCGGGTGCTCACCATCCCCACGGGCCCTGACGCCATTGATGCCATCCAGAGGACCACCCGTACCAAGAGCTCCAGTCCTGACGCCCCGTGCTCTTGCCTTTGCCCTTGCCCTTTCCTTTGGTGTAGGGCTCGGGGCGAATGGACCGGGTGATCGCCCTCCACTGGGTGTTCCTCGCCTCAACAGGATAGGTCCGCGTCCGGCCGGAGGAAAACCGCGGGATTTCGAGTTCACCGGTGCTGATGGTGCCCACTTGATCCAGGAGGCCCGAATGAAACTGACCATGACCTCCACAATCTTTTCGACGTTCCCTTCCGGGACGTATGAACCGCTGTGCCCGATGATAATCGGCACCTGGTTGCCCGGAATGAAGCGATAGGCACACATGACCGCAAACTGCATGATGCTGTAAAACCTCGCATGGTGTGCAATGAAAGCCTCCGTGGAAACGTTCAACTCATGGGGATCGCGTTTGTTGAGGCTGGGGATGAACACCAACTTCGTTCCGGTGTTCTGGGATCCGCCTCGCTCGCGTTCCTCCCTGGTACGGCCTGGGTCAGCAACAACCGCTCGGGCAATCCGGCCAAGGAAGTCAAGGCTCTCTGGGGTTAGCCCTTGCGTGGCGCAGTTGTATGCGTAGAATGGGTCGACCGAGAGCCGGTCAGATACCTTCTCGCATCCCATCGTCAACGCCTTGGTTAGGTGCGTTTTGGCCGTCTTCCTGAGTGACGCTTCGACGGAGATTCCTCCCCGCTTCTCGCCTTCCTTGAAGTGATGCTTGGAACGGATCCACTTCCCTCCGCCGCCTTGCAAATCCTCCAGGTAGAAAACCATGCCCTGGAGGGATGCTGTGTGCTCGAGGCGCACCACCTCAGTGGCGATGCGTGCGTCCGTCCAAGACACCATGTCTGACCGGCACTCCTGACACAACAGGTAGCCGTCGATCTGTTGGTTGTTGCACCTCCTGTTCCAGCATTTCACGACCGGTACCTTCATCATGGTCGTGAATAGGAGGTCCTCCCAACGTGGCTCACTCTGGTAGCGGTTCCGGAGGTTGTTCCAGCCGCGACCATGCCCTTTCTCTCCCCTGGAGAGCTCGGGCACCCGTCGAAGGGTTGCAGGCGCAACCTGATATGTCGGGCCTGCAGGTCTCTCATTCGACTTCCCCTTCCGGGGAGCGAGCTCATCGACCGTCTCAATCTCGGTCACGGCACCCGGAAGCAATTTGCCGTTCTTCGTCCCCTCAACGACGGTCCGCCAATGCCTCCAGGCCTTCTCTGCGGTCAGGGTGTTTTCACTTCTGAAGAAGTTCGGATTGACGTCCTGAGGCCCAGGCGCAAGCTCGGTTGTCAGCGCCTCGCGATACCTTTTGCGAAGCTCAGGGTACGCACGATTGAAGTAGAGGAACTCATTCTTGCGGGTATGGAAAGCGTAAATAATATAGGCATTTCCAACCCAATCTGCAGACATAAACGCCTCATCGCTCGTGAAGAGTCGAATGCCGTCTTGCATCATGAGCTCAGTATCAAAAGCAATCGTGACGGGCCTTCCGGCTCGCGTTCCTGCCAGCTTCCTCATCTGCGCCTCCCAGGGTGGCGTGGGGTTGAAGTAGACGTGGGCTCTGCCAGTCGACTTCGGATAGCCCCCCGGGACCAGGCCGAACTTGAGGATACTCTCGGCCGACCTGAGGTCACAGGTGTGGTAAAGGACTGCCGGAAAGCCTCGGCGCCACAGGTCAGTAAGTTCCGGATGCCGCACAGCCCTCGGGTAGTGACCGTCAAGGTATTTCGCCGCGGTGAACTCCTCGTCGAAGGAATACAAACTTGTCAGGATCGCCTGCTCAGTGTACTTCCTTGTGAGCTCGTTGTGGTGTCCTTGCACGGCCCTCACTCGCAAAGCCTGATACGGCAATCCTTTCCAGGATGCTTCCCCCAATGGAGGGGGCCCAACCATCACGCGGAATCTGCGGGTGTTATTGTTCCGGATGCAGATCATCACCTCCCAAGGCATGACATTGGCAATCCGGTCATTCAGATGCCTAACCAGCGCATCGAATTCCACCGACAGGTCAACTCCGCGAAACGGCGGGTGGGGCTTGCCGTCCTTGAATGCCCCTCCCCGGAGGAAATAGGACATTTTCTTCGAAATTGCGACCAGTCGGTAGTCGCGGTCCATGTTGACCTTCGGGACGTGCCCCATGTCCTCGACCTCAAGCCACTCGCTCTGCTCCTCGGCCGGGACGTTGGTATTGATCTTCCGGGTCTTTGCCCAGTCTTCCCAGAAGATCTTCTCTTGCTTAGGGTCCTTCTGCTTTTTCGACCGGGGTTCCCCCTCGGCGTTGCCTGGCGGCGCCTTGGCCTTTGCAATCCTCGGCATCGCCTTCACCTGGGGCTTGTCGGTCGAGCCTGCAGCCGTGGGGTCCGACTCGTCTCCAATCTCAATGAAACCAGTCGACTGGGGTTCCCCCACAGCGTTCTTGGCAGCAGATCCGCGCCTTGACGGCGGCGGTGTTGGCGGTTGCTTGGATGTGCTGGTGCCCTCCGTCACGGACTCAAAAGTGACCGACTCCGCGGTGATCATGGAACTCATCCCTGCCGCCTCGGAATCATCAGCTTCCGACACCATCTCCAATGATGCCACCGTTTCCTGATCGAACAAGTCACCTTCAGCGATGATAATCGACTGGCCTTCCGGCGCAGCACGGTGCACTCCTGGGGGCAGATTCGTCGCATCCCATCCAAAGTCATGGGTGTCATCGCCCAGTAAGAGCCACTTGTCTTTGTCCTCGTCGTCGGGGACCTTGGACAAGCCGTGTTTCTCCGCCGTACTGTCGATGTAGTGGGACATCGCGAGTTCCACTCGGTCAAGCTCGTCGTCGGAGTTTTCCTCACCTTTGTCGACGGCTTCAAGCACGATGTCGGATTCCTCGACCTTTGCCCCCCGCATGTCGATGGTTATGGCGTTATAGGACTCATCCTCCGCCACCTTCATCCATGCGGCCACATCGGCGTCGATTTCGTCGCCCTCCTGGTCGTGGGACCAGTCGGGCTTCTCTTCCATCGCCGCGTACTCGTGGAGCGCTTTGGCCAGCTTCAAGCATGTTGGCCAGCCAAAGAGCACCGGGTCGACCGGTTCACCTGCCACGTAGGGCTCAACCCTCCCAATGGCTGGGAGAGCGTATCTGATACGCTGGGCCAACAGCTGCGTGTTGATGGCCGCGTGAAGGAATTTCGACACAACCTTCCGGTTGGCATTGCTGTACGTCATGTGCACGTCATCGTACCTGTGAGCTAGCAATGTCATAACCGATGGGTCGATCGAGTCGATCGCCTTGATGCGGGCCCCATCGTCGATGTCCCCGTTGGCCAGGTGTCGAAGGCAGCCGTTCATAGCCTCGTTGTAATCGGACGTGAGGGCATAGTCCTCGGCGTCCGGGTTGCTGATGAAGGTAATGTCTCGAATGCGTCCGAGCCCAACCGCCTCCTTGAAGAAGTCGAGCTGCTCGTACACGCGAGTCTTCTGAACCGTCGGCCACTCTGACGCGGCCTTCCGGCCCGCCTCCGTTCGGTTAAACCTTTTCTCATGGATCCATCTGCACCCCACGAAACCATAGTTGCCGAAGACATCGTTTCCTCCCCATAACACGTAAACCGAAATGGGAAGCTGTTTGATGCCCTTCTGAGAGTTGTCCTCGGCGATGAATCGCACTTTGGCCTCCATGGTGCTGTAGATAGCCTCAAGCCCCTTACCCCAATCCATGCCGTGGTAAATGTTGCGGACCCCCTTCAGCTGTTCGGCCTGAAGCAGCTCCGCCACATGGTGCTTGGTCGGGTATTTGTTGTTCGGCTCTTCGACCATGGCACAGGAAGAGTCTCCAATGACCAAAATGTCGACCACCTCTTCCGAGGGGCATGGCACGGCGCGAAACTCCGCAGGGGCGTTGCGCCCTAGGACCTGGATCAAGTCCCAATATGCCATTTCTGAGTTGCTCCCGGCTAGGGTTCCCCCCAGCATCACTCCCGGTGCCTGTTCCTGCGATGCGATAGTCCGCGTCACCGTGTCCGGCTCCGGGATGGTCGCAATCGCTGCCTGCGTTTGGAATTGCTTCATCAGCTTGTCCCATT